GATTTCCCGATCTATCTCTTCATTTTTTTTCAATTAACCCTTTCTATTCATTTTCAATTTAACAATTAAATTATGTAACGGCCTGGAAAAATAATCAAATTGTTCTCGCGGCCCGTTAAGGATTTTATTTTCGCTATTCGGTGCGGGGCTCACCGCCGCCCCGATCAGCTAGCCGCTTCCTGGCGTTCCGCCGAATACGGGCGGGCACGCGCTGCCCTGAAAAGGGATCGCGAAAGCACGGCTAAGCACGAGAGCGTGCGTGAGTTCTAATCACGGGCGTGGGAAGGGACAAGGGTGCCTTCCTGGGTACGTCCAACACAACGACAACACTTGAGAAGGTCAAATCGGGCTTTATTCCTTTAGGCAAATCTTATACACAATATCGCGTGCCGAGATTTTGCTTTGTATCTTATTTTAGAGAGAGAGACGCTCGCTCGCGCAACTATCGCACGCTAAATAATCGCTTACAAACGCAACGAAACTCACCGTGAAGTAGCTGCTGCAGACAGACTACCCCTCGCTAGTCGCCCGCGTTATCGCCCTTGCTCGGGCGGGCAAGTTCTGCCACTAGTAATCGCCCACTCAAGATGACGATCCACAGGCTCCGGCGATCCTCGGGGATGATCTTCACCTCCTGCGCACTTTCACTTTTGTTTTTACCGGTCGCTTTCCTTTTTCTTCCGTTCGCACGCGCACGTGACAATCCTTAGAGCTCGCCGGTCTAAGTCTCAGTGTCCGAAAAATCGTTTTCTCCCCCCACTCTACCGCTAGGCACGCTAGTCTCGCTCTGTCTCTCTCTCTTCACTCCTCGCTCGCTTGCCCGCTTGGCCATGCTCGGCCTCGTGCGCGGACAATCTTCCGCGAAAACGGCCCCGGCCGTTATAATTATTAATAATATTTATAACTATTGAAAATACATTTCAATAAATGAGATAGAAAGCACTATAGTCACTAGGGACTACCTTCTTTAAAAAATATAAATAATTATTAACAATAATAATAACAATAAAAATAATAATTAACAATAATAATTAGCACGGAAGTGTTAGGCCAGGGACCCCCCGCAAGGTGGCCCAGAACATACATTGCTATACTACTAAGAAATTAGTTTAAAGTCTCTCGCTCTCCCTGTCTGCTATATATGATAATGTTATAAGATTCGGTGATTGTCAGAACCCCTTAATGTGAATTTAGTTAGTCTGTACCGTAGTTGCAACTCTTCAGCAAGAAAAAGGAAATCATCAAAAGAAAATCATCACTTATTATATCAATCTATATTTGATACTATTCTCTTAAAAAATATCGATCTGATCCACATGCCCGTCATTAACCAAAATATAACAAAAAAATCGAGTTTTTATATTTTATAAAAATTTTTATTTATTTATTTTGCTATATTTCAAAATTTTCTTATTATACAATTTATTTAAAAAATATGTACAAATTCCTTTTTACAACAGAAATTTAAAATATTCTTCAATAGTTACTGGGTCTGAATAAATGACGTAGATACATCATTGTACCAAGGTAAAACGTGCATAAACTTGAAAATATTCATGAGAAAGTGACACATTGGAAAAATCATATTTTAATATTTAGTAATCAGTTTGGATATTACTTCATATTTCGTACTAAATAAAATTTTTATTTTTATTTTATATGATATAATTTTATTTTTTTATCTAATATAATCCTAAATAGTGTTTAAGTTAACACAGCAGTTATTGATATTACAAAGCTTAGATTTGATTTTTATGTACACTATGAACATTTCTATTTACATATCCTTTCTACAATTATACTATTTAACTTAATAAAAAACAAAATTATTGAAAATATATGTTTTGTACTCAATATAGTATTGCAGGAATGACCTCCTATCTCTAGAATAAAAATTTTTATTTTAGATTGGATGAAAATTGTGAGAATGCATCACAACTTCTACCTGTTAAGTTGAAATCACCATTCGATGCCAGTTGGCAAAAACAAGGGAATGGTCGCTCGTATAACAGTTTGAGTGGTAAGACATTTTTTTGAAGGACTTATTGGATAGAATATGCAATTTACACAATACTTATTCCATTAGATCATTTGTTTGGTCATTACTCTGGTAAAGTGTTATCTGTGAGTATTCGGTGTAAAGACTGCCGAAAATGTAAGCTTGGATTTTGAAAGAATGAACACGATTGCAGGCAAAATTATAAAAATTCTGCTAAATCAATGGAGGCTGAAATAGCCGTAGATATATACACAAACAAGCCCAACGTAACATACTGTCTTGATTCCCTTATGATTTTTTAAATGATAAATTTTGTAATGATGGAAAGAAGGGAAATAGTGATAGATGGAAAATCACTTAATTTTAATTATATTCAGCAACGTTTCGTCAGCACATTTGCTGACCTCTTCAGGCTAATTTCTCTCGTAGTCAAATTATTATAAGCTAAAACGATTAGATCGTAGCACAGTCAAGTTACAATAAAGTGACTTTATTAATGATTTATCAATAACCTTCAGATGACCTTGAACCTGAGATGATGAGGTCAAACGGAGATCAGCATCGGTAGTAGTTCGTTAAAATATATGAAATATGTAAATATGGTAGAGCATGGATAGTTTCGTCTATTTTGCCTGTACTGTACTCCCAGAATTTGACCTTCATATGACCTTCAAGTATCATGTTAATAAAAGTATACCATCCTATCTGACTGTAAAGTGACCGTTCTTTCCGAAGTTAAAGTCAAAAATGAGATTGATCGTAAAATAGAAATTTGACCTTCAAATTCCCTTGAACCTGACGTGCTGGAGTCAAACGGACGTTAGATTCGGATTCAGCGCATCCAAAAACATAAAGCTATGGAAGTGGTTTCTTTGTCTTTTTTAGGTTGCATTTTGTGGTCCTTTGTTATTCAAATTTTAGTAAAACGACTGATGTTATTATGATTATTATTAAATAGTGTTTTGGAATCATCACACAAGAGAAATAAATAACAATTTATTGAAAAACTAGTGTTTAGTATTCCAACCTCACTTGTATTTGAATTGCGCTCACACCAGGAGCATATAAGCACAACCAGATGTTATGTCCGAAAGGTAACTGCAACAACTTTATACCTTGAATATCTCTTGAAAATGCGCGTTGACCCCCAATTACAAAAATACTATTAAGATCCTTATCATTTTAACTTTACGTTCTCAATTTTTTAAGTGATTATCCAGTTTATTTGTGTTGAGATATTAATTTTTGTGCAACAGAAATCGATAGCAGTCCCATAAGAGCCCATGTTAAACAAGTCAACTTTAAGAGGCTCGTTCTGAAAATTTTCAATGTTGACAGGAGTTGGAATTTCGGCAGGGAATTTGTTGTTATTTAAGGAACAGCATCTCCAAGTTGCATGATGATCTCAAGTTTTTGGGTTTAGGAAACAGCTATCTTAATGCGAACAATACCTATGTTTTCTAAATCAGTATGTTTATGGGTAATTTACGTGCACACATTAATTTTTTTAAACCTAATTTTGTTATATCGTGTTATTTTTATGGAATGTTTTGTAATAATTGATGAAAATGATGGAGAAATAAGTGTACAATGAAAAGTAAAACTAAAAAGAGAAGCAGTCCGATTAAAAAGAAAAATAGCAAATGAGAAAATTGAAAATAACAAAAATTGACTGAAAGTTATTCATGAATAAGTCAGAAAAACAAATTGTTATGCTAGTGATAGAAATAAATCAGATAGTTTTCATAATTCAATTGCAAGTGTATGCAATAATGACATTGTTCACAGTGATAGCAATATTCCATATCTTGAATAGCGAAATCAAACGCAGCTCGTAAAATCACCGAAAGTGTTATTATTCGTAAACGCAATTCTAAATGTAATCATATTTCTAACTATAGTAGTATAACAAGTACCATAAGTGATGGCAGTTTTGAATTAAATAGCAATATATCGCTCAACACTACTAAACATGATTTTACGCATGGTGTCATTGAAGTAAACGACAGCCAGAGTGATTTAGAAAAAGATGTTGCGAAACATGAAACGATATAAAAAACCGTCACGTGCTTAAAACGAGCTTTGGTATTTGCAAAGAGAAGATAAATGATACTGTGTAGATAAATTCGTAATTCGTAAATTGAGAAATCAGATAGCTGTTTATCAAAAATTTAAAAAATACAGTTGGATGAAAATAAATATTAGCTAAAACTCGATATGAAAAATCAACTATCTTAATAATTTCAGCAAAAGTTATTAAATAATTTCATTGCAAAAATAATACCAATTTTCAGTGAATATTATTACCAAAGGAAAAATAGAAATGTTAATAATTTTCTCTCGTTTAGTCATATCGTTTTGTAAAACTTACAATCAGTATGTACAGAATTCAGATATAACATATTGCGAGCTAATAAGTATGTGTAATTAAGTAATACATTGTGAAATTGTGCGTATATTTGCTAGTTATGGACGTATACGTTCCCTATATACCTCACGTTGTAATGTGTCGAGCCGACAAATACCTCAAGGGCCTGAAAACTATGACATATTATTGATAGAATTTCAGATCTTTGCCGCCAATAAAAGCACAGACTCGAGTTTGCATGCCCTTATTAATAGCGATGACTTAATTATTGAAAAGGATGGCTAGTATGAGAGTGCCTACCTACCCGTTTCAAGGTTACTGCGGATTATAAAAAAGTTAATGGTAAGTAGAGGTGGAGCAAAGGCAACCATAGCAATTACTTCACGTAAACATTCAAGCAAAAAGATTACCCCAACTTTATAAACGGCTAGATATGAAAGTTACTTTATTTTCTTCTCTATTTTTCTATGACCAGCGTGCATGTTCGCCATATTTGTCTAGATTGTGCAAACAAAACTTAAGATGCAACTTTGACAACTACAATTTCAAAATGCTATAATGTCAAAGGGAATTTCAAACTAGAACATCTTAAAATTTTCAATAAAAAGAATTAATTAAAATTATTCAAATTACCACAGTTTGCGGACTAGCTTTCTGATTCAAATCGGCACTTAGAAACCCATGCTCTTCTTCATAAATTTCTGCACTTATATTTTTACCGGTATCTGGATTAACAATATCCGTGATAGCTTTAGATCTTTGCCTTTTTGATTTTGTTGACATATTATTGTTGAAGGTATTGTTGAAGCTAGGATAAACATCTGTAAATAAATATTAAAAATAAAATCAAGAATCATTCGATTATGTTATTCAAAAAAGAAATTACCTGTTTGAGGCAATGTCACATTCATTCCATGTATAGTCTGCGTGGCTTGTGGAGCTTGTTGTTGAAGAGTTCCTTGAGGAACGATCGCAGCTCCTTGTGTGTTGCTTAGCGATCCCGGTAGATGCTGCGAAGTGTTCGTCACATTATTTCCGCCAGTTCCTCTTAAATTTATTTGGGCACTTGTTGGCGAATAATAATCTATAAATCAAACATGTAATTATTTTTACACAGAATTTTAATAAGTGCGAATTAGATTTATTTATTTTAGTAATATTTAAGGTCTGATATGCATATACGTAAAGAAATATATGTATCGCACTAAAGATCTAGTTAAAAATGTGAATTTTTTTCTTTCCGCTATTTATATACTATTACAATAAATATTACTTACAATTAGATGTTAAAGAATATGTTATGTAATTATTAAAAAAATTTACGTTAATCGAGAATCAATTTCGAATTGAGAATCGAAATTGAATCCGGAATTGTTGGATTACTAAACCTATCTTCTACGTTTTCACTATTACCGACTATTAGGATAAGTACCATTTTTGTTGCAAATCTTATGATTTTGAAGCCTACCTACCATCTTTTATATCCTCTTATAAAAAAGTGATGGACTGAAAGTGAAGCCAGTTTATTCCTGATGTGATTGGTTCAATCCAGATTATAGACTGAACTCTAATTAGATTGAAGCAAAAAGGGAGCGAAAATCCAAATGTTGAATCATTAAAAGTAAATATTCAGTCGTTATTAGTTTATATTAAGCATAATTTTTAGAATAATAAGATTAGGCTTGAATAGAATTCATTACTAGTCCCGAATACTATTTTCTAATCAAATCAAAGGAAATTTTTAAATAATATGCGACAAAATTGTGTGCAATGTAACTGTGTGTGTACGACAAATTATAGATGTCGCGCTATAGCTATAGTTTTTCTCTATACCTTCCTACTGGCTATTATTCCAGTCGACATCAGTCGTCGTACCTCGTGCCACTGATGTGAGTGCCCATTAAAAAACACGTAGTAAAATCCATTAGCTTCTTTATTAATTTTTGTTGGAGTAACAATTTTTTGAAGGAGTGATATTATGTAAATATTACTAGCTTATGTAAAATATATATTTTTAATATTCATTGATATGCTTTTGTCTAATGCTTTAAATGTAAAATGCACATGGCGTAAAGGTTATGTTACCACGATATTCATTCCTTTTGAATAAAAAAAAATTGTTTGCGTTACAGGCATCTGCTATGGTAGTGAATGACCAGTAAATCAATCCATTAGTTAACCACCTAACTGATGATAAAGCTGTGGCGGGGAATTTCGGGCGGTTTCAGACGCGCACTCGAAATACTTCCGCCACAAGGCCTGATTGACCCTTTTTCCGCGACTAATGATAAGGGCGCCAGACCGCCGTACCTAAATTAGGGCGATCGTTGGGGGTAGGGCCAGAATATAGCGGCGTATATCTGTTCGCCCACGGTGTGACTACGCAAATTGGGAAGGTAGATGTTGACACATCGACTTCCTTGGTATCAGGCCGTTGGTTTCCAACAATTGTCAATTTATTCGTCTTCTCGAGTCCTTGAAGTGCCGGTAGCTCAAGTTACGACTCCTCATCTCAGGTCGGAGATTCGTTCGATTTCGCGCGTAAGTTACCTAATGTCGGAACCGGAAATGGCAATCAAGTACTTCTCGTTATTAATCGTTGGCGGCTGAAAATAATATCAGCATGTAGGGAAGGGAGGGTAACGAGACGTAAAATTAAGAAAAATCGATCACACTTGACTTTTATTTCTTTTAAAATACAACTACAATTACGGGTTGAATAGCGGATGATCGATACGACTTGATACGACTTAATGCGCGGCGAGACAGATCCACACGTCCGGCCGATTAAATCTGCGACGGTCTAACACTTTCGATCCCTGAATTCGTAACCGTAATTTTCTATTTCACTAACTAAATTCCCTTTCGTTTTGATCCTAGCACTCACGACAAATTCGGAGAAATGGTGAATGATCAACGCGACTCGATCGGAGCAATAAATTCCCGGCGTCGACGGATCCACGCGTCGCCACGGTATTATTCGCCCGAGACAAATCATGCACCGTACTTCACAATTAATTTTAGTGAGTGGCACTTTGCCTACTTACAGATTTCCTCTGAAGAACTCGACAAGCGAAACTACGGCAACGAATCTGGCACAATTGCTTCCTTCTAATCTAGCTATCAGCGGCAAAATGGACAAGAAACGGCTTTTCGCGGTCAAAGATGATCTTTCCTTTCCTCTTTCATAGAAGAAATCCTATTGTAGGCCGATATGCTAATACGGATATCAGTAGCGCCCTCCGAATATTTCATCATTGGCCAATATGTAAATTAGAAAAGTATAGCGTCCTCATTTTATTTCCTACTTTCGTCGCTATTTACCCTATTTCACCCCTCACTAAGTCGGCTAACATTGATTGATGAGAAAGATCTACCCTTACTCTTATTTATTTTTCGATGCGGACGGAAATCAAATTTTATTCTAATTCGCTTATTGGTCGTGACGTCACCAGCGAGTTTCGTCAGAGTATCGAATTTCATCAATCAAGTTATTAATTTAATTTGTCAGATGGCTTGTCGCTTATTAATACATTTAAAGGGTGATAGCGGCCGCATAAAAGTATTTCTAATTTTATATTTTACGAGGGGAAGTCAATAAGTCTTTACAAAATCCAAGAAATGGTGCTTGTCACGCTTAAATTATGATGTTTTTGGCAAGCAATACTACTGACTAGATATCCTACAAAGCTTCAGCTCGATTCATTAAGTCGTTTTTTGTTAGCATTCGTTAAAACAAAAGTTATTGGTTTATTTGAAAAATGGAAAAAAACAGAGTTTCGAGCGGTGATAAAACATTTTCATTTAAAAGGCCGTACACCAAAAGAAATCACAGTTGAATTGAACGCCGTTCATAGCAAGTCTGCCCCTGCGTTTAAGTCTGTTTATAATTGGGTAAATAAATTTAAACGCGGCCATACTATAACAAAAGATGAACCTTGTTCAGGACGTCCCGTAGAAGTGAGTACGCCCGAAATGGTCAACAAAATCCACGATAAGGTGTTGAGTGATAGAAGATTAAAATTGCGAGAATTAGTTGAGGTCACAGGGGTATCAAAGGGTACAATAATTTAAATTTTGCATGAAAAATTGAGGATGAAAAAAATACCAGCAAGATGGGTGCCGCGTTTGCTCACTGTTGAAAACAAACGAACCCGCATGGTCACCTCTGAGGCTCTTTTGGCACGTATACGTCGTAATCCCGAAGACTTTTAGCGTCGACTCGCAACTGTAAACGAAACATGGGTACATCACTACACTTCTCAAACCAAAGAACAGTCCAAACAATGGATTACAGCAGGAGAACCAGCCCCAAAGAAGGCAAAGACAGTCAGTTGGCAAGATTATGGCCACGGTTTTCTGAGATGAGTATGGAATCATCAACATCGACTACTTGAAAAAGGGCCAGACGATCACTGGACAATATTATGCGTCATTATTAGGTTAGCTGAAAGAAAAAATCAGAGAAAAACGTCCGCACTTGAACAAAAAAAATGCCTCTTTCTTCAAGACAATGTTCGAGTTCACACGTGTGCAGTTTCTATGGCAAAAATTAACGATTTAAAGTTCGAATTAATTGACCATCCACCATATTCGCCTGATTTGGCTCCCAGTGACTTTTTCTTATTTTTTAACCTCGAAAAATGGCTTGCCGGACAACGATTCACGTCGCATGAAGAAGTTATCGCCGAAACAAATGCCTATTTTGAGGGTTTTCAGAAATCATATTTTTCTGATGGCTTAAAAAAACTGGAAGACCGCTTAATAAAATGTCGACCTTCAAGGAGAACATGTTGAAAAATAAAAAAAAATTACATACGCAAAACTTTTTTTTCCTTCTTTTTGTAAAGACTTATTGACCCCCTCTCGTAATATATTACATGTACTGTTATTACTACAAATTATTTGTAGTAATAATATAATTGTAAGACGGTCTTATTTTCGTAGCGCCACCATCACCGCATTTACACTTGAATCTATATAATACTTATTTTAGTTCGCTCGCTTCGTATGGTCTGTCTCACTCGCTCTCGCTTAGTCTGTCTCGCTCACTCTCATTTAGTCTGTACCGCTGTTCAAGATGGCCGTCTTCGCTCCCGCGTGTCAACCTCATGCTCTGTTGTCGGTCTCCGAAGCGCCTCCTGGAGCGCTCCCCTTCGGTTGTGCGATACTCGTGTGTGTCCGGATGTGGTGTGTGTGTGTTTCCGAGTATTGTCAATGATCGGCCGCAGTATCAGTGTGTGTGGCACTTAGGATGTCGCCGATGGTACGCAGCTGCCTGACACAGCTGATTGCCGGCTGCCGCTTCATCGACGACTTTCCGTTCGCCCCAAGTATGCCAGCATCTCGGGAGTGTTTGTGTCAGTGTTGGGAAGTGTAACGGATCTGCATATACCGCTATCATGCATTTCCGCTGCACTTCTCAGTCAAGTTTTGGTGTTTTTCGTTTTAGCCAACAACACGTGCTCGAGAGTGTAGGTGCGCGTGCGCTCTCTTTTGCCTCCTCGTACGCTTCATTTTTTCAGTCATCCGTCGGATCGCATTTTCCAACTTGTTACGTCGTTTTCTCAAGTTTGGGTGAACGGATATGGAAAGGAATTCATGTTCGAATTAGGGCACACATAGATTATAATTATACGGCTGGTTACGGGTCGGCAAGGAACGGGAGTGGCTTTCCTGAGGTGTTGCAAATAATGCAATACTCTCAGGCAAAGCCTTGTAATGTATCGCATTACAAAGCTATGAGGAATGATTTGACAAAGATAAAACAAAGTATGTGTATTAAAAAATTTTTTTACAATCGTCATATTTAATACTTAAAAAATTTGAACAAAAGACCTAACAAAATACTAAAATTAAATAATAATAAAATTAGTAATAAAATTCCAATTTCAAGTATATCTTATACCTACTTAATATTTAACACAATAAAGAAATAACGTTAGATAAATTGTGTCTTGCTTAGGGACAAAGAGAGATATGAGAAAAGCATGTTTGATATATCACTCTCTACACTGCAGTAGCAGTACAATAAAAAAACTTTACATAAAGTAAAATATAAACACGTAACAATTTTCAGCAATA